CGAGAATTCCTGATCTCCCGAAAATGATCAAATTTCATGTCTCCTTCTACGCACGTTCATAAGTATACGATTTTTCGTTTTAACGTGGTTATTTTACGGTGAGAATCCAACACGGCTGACGACTATTGATAAACTTACGTATTATCATCTCATTGACGAGTACAGTACACTAGGATTCTAGAGCAATTTTAAAATATTCCAATACATAGCGTCAAATATTAATTGTCTAATAAGATTACTAAAAGGGAGTTTGTCAATGCTTAACACTAGATATACCAAGAATTGATATATACTTATCTCTACTAACCGGTCAAAACGATCAGTACATGTCATCAGAAAGAATGGAATAAACTGAATAAATTGAATCGTTTACAATAATTGCCGGATACGTACAAATAAGAATTTCATAATCGTACAAAGAACTCTAAAATTTGATTCAGAGTAAAAGTTTTATGAGCAAATGTTTAAACCGGTCATTTCGACCGGTTGATACACCTGGTGTTAAGGAAAACCATGCAGCGTAGAATTCTGTTTGAATTTAAAGTTATTTAATTTTATTTGAAAAGTTATTTAGTAGTAATAATAATTTTATTGTTATTCTTTAATTAATGCTTTACTAATTGCATACAGTTTTTAAGATTTTTTATATACTTATCCAGATGTATATTACATCATGCTCAATCCCATGTTTTCAATAATAATAAAAGCCATAAGACGAGCCGAACAACAAGACTTTTCGGCCAACCTAATATCATCAGGTCGGAGTGTCAGGGCACGGTCTTCCGCGAAAAAAAAACAATCGGCAGCGATGTTCGGTCATTACTTTTGTCTAATGAGCACGCGAAACCGGGGCTCGCAGACCTATGAAAACGCGAAAGGCTGCGCTGTGTCCATTCACGAAGAAGAATGGACACCCACGCGCGCCGCCTTTCTATTCTCGGCTGGCCGATTCACGCTCGCTCACCTGACTCATCGCACACATATCGGGAAAAGTTTCTTTTTTTCCCTTTCCCCTTTCGTTTCCTTAAATTCGTACGGAGACGTTCGCGGAACAATCGGGTCCAAATGTAGAACGATTCCGAGGGAACCTGTCAAACTCAGGGGACCGATCGACGACGTTGACACCGAAATTCGACTTTCTTTTGCTTGTAGTCGAGTTCCATGGCGGATGCAGCGTTGACGCATCGAATGCACGCTCTTGGAAGTTTCTTTGATCCATAAACGATGATTTTTGAACTGCGGATTTAACAGAAGAGCTTGGAAACTTGTTATTCATCTGTTTTCTATGTTCGCGTACTAACGATTTCAAGATTCCCTTTCTCGCGTCATATCCTCTAAATTAGGTTTATCGGTTTAACTCGTGACATTTATCTTCTTAACCGTTTTAAAAAAACTGTTACCCCAATTAAGAAAATCCTTGTATTACGGACGTTCTGAATGTTAAAACATTCAACAAATTGTCATCGTTTCATCGAATCAAGTTCGTTTTTGTATCTCCGTTCTTGGATAATCAGGTATTGACTAAACCAAGGAGAATATATATTTTCGTTATAAAATTATACGTACAACGTAAAGTATAAATAAAAACTATCTCATGGATAATCATTTTCCAGCAACACATGTTCCTGCGTATGCAGGTCTGGGTTAACAGCATAATAGGTGGAAGAGGCGAAACGGTCCCATAATGCTCTTACATTTTCGTTTATTTCGGTACTCATGACCGCATGTGTCTCTTCCACCCACCTGTCGAGTGATTACGCGCCTATTTTCGTGGATGAAACTACCCAGAGCACATTTTCGCTCGGATGCATCGGTATGCGAGTGAGAGTGCAGCCAGTACGGCCCTCCACTTCCGGCCCCGTGTTACAGCCGTCGCACGTTTAACTTTCTTCTAATTACTTCGAATCTTTATCGTTGCATCAATCATCTCTTTATATTCGTATCGTCGTACATTTTCGTCACTCCCGAGCCGAACTCGCGACTTCATTCTCGAACGAAGGAAATTTATCGACGCATAAATTTCGAGGAATAATTAATTGCTGACGAAGGAATGCACACGATAATGCGACTGTACGCTCAACAAGGTTCCCCGGTAGTCATAAAAACGATAAACGGCGACGCGAACGAACGCGTCCAGGAATCAGTATGAATAATTGAAACAGTAAACTTCGGACACGCGTTCATTATCTCAGCGACACAGGAACCGGAGCCAAGCGGAATCTAATGTAGATATGTACAGCAGCGCTTAATTTATTCCGTGCGTTTATAGCGACACAAATTATATCGACGGCGCTTTATCGCGATCGTTTGAGACACCGACGAAAACTCAAGGAGCCGACGAAAAGTTCGGTGTTAGATATTAACGGGTTGACTGCCAGTCGATCGGAGTATTTCGGTATCTTCCACCTACGCCCTTTTACATTTCAATACGTTGAACGCCGCATGATTTCATACAGCAAAATACTCGAAATGGAAAGAATATAATATTAAATTATTTGATTGAATTGCATTGTTGTGATTGCAAGTTCATCTAGCTGAATGTCACTGCATTAGCTAGCATTATATTTATAATGTAGAAATGTTTTCAAATAATCATCGTTTAATTGAGTGAACTGTAGTAATTCAATTTGGCTGGCATTCAACGTGTTAATATTAGAAAAATAATGAATTATTCTTAAAATTAAATGAAGGTATTAAGTATTCTACTGCTATATTATTTTATGCAAAATATTCGAGAAAACAATGTCTAGCAAATAAAAATATCGCTGGCAGTCAACCTGTTAAGGTTTGGGCGCAAGAAAGCTTCCTTGCTAAGTGCAAGCTGGAAAAAAATGCTGCTCTTTGTCTGATAGCATAAACTGATTTTTGTCTGAATTTAAACATTAATAATGTTTTTGTCTGAATTGAAACATGTGAAACATATGTAGATCCTTGTAAAAACTGTAACAACAGATTTGTTCGATTTTTCATATATTGATTATACCAATGAAACTATTTATTTTCCAAATCATTTCGAATATTTAACGCAGGACATCGATAATTGAAGTAAGAGAACTGAAACCTGTCATTTTAATAGATACGGTTGTTCTAGTGTTATCCCGGCCACCCGATAGGGGATATTAACTGGCACTTTGTATTAAACAGTCGAATAACTAACTACAAAACAAAAGGAAAGGCAACAATTGAAAAACTGATTAACACGTTGACTACCACGAGAATTTCTAGCGTTTTGAATAGCAATACTTCTCAATAATTCTTTAATAACAAAGATAAATGATATTGAAGATAATTATTAATGATTTACTATTACAGTAGTCATATTACGCTATGATCTAGCTACTTATGTTACTAAATATTTTTATTTAAAATCAAGTTTTTTTATTATAACTGTTCTTTAGCAATTTGAAAGCTCCGGCTATTGGTGACCACCGTGACAATCAACGTGTTAATCGGGGGATATAAGAATTGATAGAAAGTTAAAGGAACGAAAGAAAACGCAGAATTGTCAATCAAATATTAAAATCGGTCATTTGTTAATGTTAAGCCGCCCGATGCTGACCGGTGGTTGTCAGCCCTCTCACGTGGTATTTTTACGATTCCGAGACAAAGTGCTGTTCGTCATCAAACGATAAAAGGAGAGGAATCCTCCCCGTTCTCTCGAACCGGGAACGATGAGCGACGAGTCTCCATGACGATAGAGTAGAAGTTTTCGACTGTTTACGGCTGGCCGTTGGTCACGCGCTACCAGTGCCGATCGCTAAATATACCATGCGCTCGACACATTTCTCCAAACTCGTAGAAACTCGCGATCCCAGGGGAATCAGATGATGTCCTTCTCTTTTAAAAAGATGGACACGATTAATTCGCGACATTTAAACCTCTATGATCAATGTTACAACGATATTAGCGAAAATAAAACATTTTGGACTTCTTCCGCAGTTATCGGATAGATTTTTAAATTGATTAGTTCCAGCAATGAGAAACTAGTTAATCATAAATCTAATGAAACAGTTTATAAATTAGAACAATAAGTAATCTTCAACTAATTCTTAACCGGGCAAGTCGCAATTGCATTATCCTATAGATATCGACTAAGAAATGTTTGAATGAATTGGCTAAGACGGTTTGCTTTTTAGGCACAAAGTAAATGAAACAGTATAGAAATTTTATTTGAGTAATCTGTGTCTGGCGGATAATCAGATTTGTATAAAAGTGAAGGGGTAATAGCTGACAAGCTAGCAGGATTACAGAAATAAGTGTTCATGTAAAAGTTTGTTCGCATTCTTCTCGGGGAATCTTTATGCATTACGCAATGAATGGAGCCAACCTCTGCTATGTAACTATTTGCGTTGAATTCGATTAAAACTCGTTGAAACCAAGGATCGTTAGCTTAGCATCGAACGAAGATGTGCAATTCGAGCCGCGAGCATTCGATTTGCTTCGTGAAATTTTAATTAAACGACTTATCGATACACCGACGGGGGGGAGAGATATTAACCCTTTGAACTCTGTAGGCTCCAATATTGCACCAGTTGTAATATTAAATATATTAATGAATCTTAAAGGAACTACCCTAAAATTATTAGATTTTCCACGCATCCAAATTTTGTACTAAGAAGCATTTCTCATTTTTGCTAGGAATACTATAAAAATTAGTTACAGTTGCTGATAGATTACAAAACAACCTGGAGTGCTAAGGGTTAAAAGAAAAGGAGGAAAAGAATTGTTGACCTCCAGGGAAATTTTATATATTACGGTCTCTGGTAAATACTTTTAATACGGTTTCGTGGGTATATACGAAGACAAGAGAGAACTTTTTCACAGCGCAGCAAAAGTATCGCATTTAAGTTGGCACTTCTTAATTTCACTTGTAATTTATCTGTCTCGCTTAATCAATATAACTTCAGTCGCGATAGTGAATTAATTAATAAGTAGAATAATCGCCCAGCCGTTTATAACGAATAAACGAAATGTTTAATAAACGGTTTTGTTTGGAACAGTACGAGAGGAATGGCTTCGTCGTTCTGGAGGATCTCTTCAAACCAGAAGAGGTCGACGAAATGAGATTCTGCGGCGAAGAGTACACGGACAACTTGCCTCCAGAGAATGAAAGATGCATTTTCAACACAGTGACATCGCAACAGGTTCGAATCAATTATAGCTAAATTGAGAATCGTACAGATTTCTAAAAGATACAAATTCACGAAATTATTTCTCATTTTCTTGCGTACTTGCCAAACAATTCGTCAGTGTAACATCATCGTAATACCTCAGCGTCTTAAGTGAGATTAGTGCGTGTCAAAATATCCATCTAATTAATTATTTCAGAGCAAAGACACATATTTCTTGGAGAGCGCCAACATAATCAGGGTGTTCTTCGAGGGCGAGGCATTGGATAGTGACGGGAAATTAAAGGTGCACCCTCGAGTTTCCTTGCACAAGGTGAGAACCACTTAAAATTCCGACTTTGCTCAATAGTCGATAACAATAAAAAAAAAAAAATAATCATTTAGATTGGTCACGCGCTGCACTGGCTCCACCCAACGTTCAAGAAGTACTCTTTCGACGAGAGGATAAAGGAAGCAATGTTCCAGCTGGACTACAAAGAGCCAGCTATCTGCCAATCGATGTACCTTTTCAAGAATCCTGGCATCGGCACGGAAAGTAAGGCAGAAAGATTATTACGGTCTATTCGGTTCTTCAAACATATCATCACGCTTCTGTGTATGTATTACATTGAACATCATTCTTTTTCTAGTATCCATGCATCAAGACGCGACGTACTTGTACACCGAACCGGTCTCCGTGGTCGGTGTGTGGATCGCCCTGGAAGACGCAACTCAGGAAAACGGGTGTCTATGGTTCGCGCCGGGTTCTCATAAAAGTGGCGTTCACCGACGTTACGTGCGAAACAAGGACCCCGACTCTAAGGACCTGTTGGTATACGACAGCGCGAACCCCTGCTATCAGCTGAGCAATTTCCGGCCGGTACCGGTTAAGAAGGGTTCGGTCGTTCTCATTCACGGGCAAGTGGTACACTTTTCGTACCCCAACAAAAGCGACAAGTCGCGGCACGCATACACGTTCCACGTGATCGAAACGCAGAACACGACCTATCCGAAGGAGAACTGGATACCAGTGCCGCCGGAGGGTTTCCCGAAACTGTACAGGAATTGAACGCTTTCCGAACCATGCGCCGAACAAGCTGTACGGTTTGGTCATCAACGAAAACTATAATGGGGGTACAACGATTAAACGCCGCCTGTACTTGTGGCTGTGGCCGTTTTTATTTTTCACCTTATACAAAAGTTATATCTTGTAATATATAGAACTGTTAATAAAAAGAATATTGTTAAATATTCGTATCGCTTAACTTGTTCCTCGTTACATGTACGCGGTTAAACCCGGCTATATATCACGACTGTTAAATTACACTGTACACCCGCGTTAGCAATGCCATTGAACAAGAATACGACCAACTTGAACGACGCTTTTGTTAGTTTTATACATACTGTATGGCTATGTACATCTATAACTAGCTAATCGACAGAAATGCGTACTGAGTTCCTGCAATTGGCGTAAACCTGTTTTCAATACGTCCTCCTTCTGTTTTACGCAACAGTATATGTCCAGGGGTGTCAGCTCGTCGTCGGGTAATTTCATCGTTGCAGGCACCGATTCAGGGAGAAACGTTACCAATGTTTGATGCAGACTGCTTAATGTTCGATGGTCGGTGGATGAGTTTTTCACTTCTTCCAGTACGCTATGATATGAAACATTAGAAATTGAAAATATAGAATGCTCACGAGTGATACCAGCTTCAGTTTACTTACGCGCTCAAGGTATGCAACAATTTGTTCACATTGGCTGCAAGTTCCGGTTGTATCTGTTTCACGAAATCCGAGGATGGAGGCGGATTTGGAATATTATAATGGAAAGTACAAGGCATTCCTGCTATATCAGCTGCTAACCCACTGTAAAATGCGAAGAAAATATACGTAAATAAAATGATAGTAATTAATGCTGTGTGTAAGTTTCTTTTAATGTTTAGTTGCGTAATGTAGAGCAGTTAATATTAAAACTTACCACATATTACGAGCAAAAATGTATGCTGCCTCAAAATATTGAAAAGCTTTTAGTCCTCTTCGTTCTCGTTCTGCGATATCGCGTTCAAACCCGATTGCATCGCATAATCTCTGATTGTTTAATTCATTTTCGAAAGAACGACATCGTTGTTTTAATTCCTAGAAATATAATGTTACGAATAATAATTGGTTCAATGCAACATCTATGAAAAATATTTTTATCCGATTTACTTACATCGATCTTCTGAGAGGCATGTATCATTAAATTCGAATGTTTATCTATATTAACCATCTGAATCAGATCACTGCATTTATTTAAGATGCAACTAACTTCGATTAATGTTTTTTCACCTGAAAAGTTCTAATATTAGAAGCGAATCAGTAAAAGATATTTTTTTACTGTGTACACGTTACCAGAAGTGTTTTTAAATATTTGTAGCAACTCTTTCAAAACGAGTTCTGCTTTTCTTAAAAATGACTCATTGACAGCAGCTATCCAATGTTTTATAGCACATTGTAAAACAGTTACAGCAGTCCATGGTGGTTTTATGATGACATAGTTCTCCCACAATTCACCATACAATCCATGCATTTCTTTGCTGACTATCTGCAATAGAATTCTTTATAAATAATATAGTATTCCTTTTTTTTAAGAACAAATTACATTTTTATTTTGTATACTTGCCAGGGTCAACAAATCTTTTATAACACTTTTTGCGTCATCAAATATTTCATTGGATATGCGATTTTCTTGATTTAAAGACGAAGATGAGTTCAAACTCAATATTTCCTTATTCTGTTCGTTAAGACTACAAGACGAATTGTTTAAATAATTTGTAGCATTAAGATAATCAACTTTCTCAAAAGGGTCATTCCTTCCAAGTGTTACAATATCATAAACCATTGCTTTATTGCAAAGATTAGTGTCGTATGACATTAACACCTACATAATACATACACAGAAATAAAAGAATAGAAATTACATTAAGCAAAATTGTATTATATAGTTGTATACGTACCACAGATTTTTCTAATTCGCGAATTTGTAAACAGGTCTGAAGAATCTCATCATCTGGACAATCGAGAGAAAATTTTTCTTTATTCTTCAAGACATCCTCTCGCGTTTGACCAATAATGTACGGATATTTGGAAGAAAATAATTTATTAATATAGTTAATAGCTGTTCTTGCTTTCTTACACAATGATGCTGGTTTTGTTTTTCCATTATTATTTTTAATATAATCAAGTTCCTGTTCGTAAAATATTTTTCATAATGTTTTTGATAGAATATGTTATCTATTATAATTATTATATAATATATAATACTTACACGTATAACAGTCCATGGTATTACAATAAATGGGCGATTAAAAGTTTTGAAATTACTTTCTTTTGCTGATTCAACAGCATCAATATTTGACAAAAATACGTTTGTATCAACAACGATATATAGCTGCCGTTTTTCTTGTTCTTCTAATACTGGTGGACAACTTAAACTATGATTTGGTAGATTGTATGTTACATCCATATTGTTTACTGCACAAAGTTGAGTTCTAACAGCTTGTACCTAAGTAATATAATTAAAAAAATTGTTGAATAAATATTTCCACAAATGTTGTAATCGTAGTATTCATATTACTTCAAATGTAATTTTTTCATCTTCTAATGGTTCCCAATCCATTTCCTCATAAAAAGAATCTTCATTAGATCGTTTCACTAAATCAGCTACTGTTGTTGTCACAGGTTCCACAGATAAAATTTTTGGTTTTTCATAACTAGAAGCTTTATTAACTGGAACTTTATTCTTTGATAGTTTATCCTTCAAACGTGTTAATCTGACTTCTACATTCTTATAAATGTCTGGTAACTTTCCAACTACAACTATAATACTCAATGTAAACCATTAGCCTATGACACTACAAAGAGAATGAAAAATGGTTACCATGTTTTTTGTTTGAAGAGGTGGTTTGCGATACATTGTTAGCACCATCAGAACTTTCGTCATCATTATTTTGTAATGTTAAACTTTTCCTTAATTCTTCCATGCGCTCTTCTCCCAAATTTTTCTTTAAAGATCTTCTCCTCTTCCTCTTACGTTTAATTGTACTTGTACTCTGGTCATTTATTTTTCTTGTTGCATCACTTTTCTCTGTAATTTAAAAAAGAAAAATATTATTTTCCACTTTTTCAATAGAAAATATAATATAATGTAAGTCATTTATCCATAACATTAATCATGTCTAAATTCTATTACATATAAAATAATATCAAATTAAGTAAACATACCTTTGCTTTTTGATTGTTGCTTATCTGATATATTCTGTTGGCTTTTATTATTATCTTTGTTTTCTTTAATTTTTTGTGCCTTAGAACTATTCTTCAATGATTTTTCTTTCATTTTCTGAAGAATTACTTGCATTTGTGGTGTATAAGTTGTCTTTGAACTTTCATCAGTCTCAGATTTAGAAAATGATGAAGCAAGTTTTTTATTCTTCAATGACTGTGATTTTGTATTATCTTTCAAAGATTTTGGACTTCGTTGTTTAGAAATACTTTCCTTTTCTTTCTTCTCAAGCATCTTTTGACGAACAGCTTGCATATGTGGAGTCTCTCTTTCTTCATTGTTCTTTTCCGTAGTTCGTTTGAGAGATCTTTTAGCAACCAGCTTCTTTCGTTGAATATTTCCTTCTTCAGGTACATCATATTCAGGTGTAGAAGGCTGAGTTTTTCTACGCTTTCTAGAAGCTATTTCTGACTTCTTTGTTAACTAAAATTAAACATACGAGTAGTTCTGTTTCTTATATTATATCATTTAAAAATGTTAGTTATTTCTTAATTACGGCAGTGAAATCATTTGTGAAAACTATGATTATCTTCAAATTATTTCAAACATATATGTAACATATAAATACAGAAAGCAATTTCGTAAGGTATATATTATAAAAAACAGAAATTTATTCTGATTAATACTAATAATTAAGAATTTATCAAATACTTGTTCGGACTGCTCTGACTTCGGTTCTTCCCAAGAAGATTGGTTTGTTTTAACATTAAAGTAATACACTCTGCCCGGATGTGTTTTCGAATTTTTTACAATCCAATTTTTTGGCAATTCTTGTTTCATCATTTTTCAAGTTGTTCTCAAAATTTACCATAAATCAATTCAAATCCACAAAATATGACCTTATTACGCGTCATCACAATTCACATGTCATATTCTCTAAAATAAACAGTGTCATCACAAACAAAACATTTTATCGTGCGTTCCAAAACGTTCAATTTTAATATGAACAGAAAAATCACCATAAGAATTTCGTCTGCTGTCATATCAAATTTTTTTCCAAATTTGATTTAATTTTTTAATTTTGTTTACGTTCCAAATATAGTATCGAAGAAAATGATTATACAGACAAAACAAAGAAAACTAAAAAGTACCTACATACATACTTTTCTGTATGAATTAGACATTAGAAAACCTCAAATTTCTAGGGAATTTTGATTGTTCCAATTTCATCCCTTGCTTCTAAACACAGACGATTGTTTTCCCTTTCGCTGTGAAATATTTCGCTAAAAGAAATTTATTCCTCCCATAATTTCAGTAACCGTGATAAAACATAAGACGAATATCTGTGCATAAGACTATTAGGCCAAGTCAATTCCGTTACGTTGCACACATAATATTTAAAACTGGCGTGAAATACACATTTTTTGTTTTGAATATATTATCACGGGAGCAATGGCAATTGAAATTAATAAACCGACGTATCGCATAGTAAATTATGATGCCGAAGATGACGATTTAAAATCTTTTTCTCAAATAGATGAGGCTACAAAAGAATGGCTTAAGAATTGTGAACATATATGGAAGTTCTGTAAGTATGATATACGTATTAAAACAATATTAAAATATTGTACCCTCCCTGCTTCTTATCTTTTATATTTTCTTTTCTACAGGGAAAAAGTGTGACAGAATAAAAACAACACTGATAGAATATTTTGAAAGTGCACCTAATCCGTATTTAAGTACTTTACGTATCATAGTAAACATCTCAGATTTTAAACAAATAAAACCAAAGTCATCTGTAGCATTTACAGGTTTATTTTACACAACAATAATTATACATATTCGTATTATGTACATGTAGGATTTGTTATTTATCTTGATAACTAGATTATGAATTTTTATGCAAATTCTAATTTATTGAAACATTTTTAATAACATAGATGCATTTAAAGTTTATATTTTCTATTAAGAAATTAATTTAGTTTAAAATAAAATAGTGAAAAAATGGTTAAATCTTCATTAGAATATATGTTATATTGCATTTTAAACATTCATGTACATGTCAAATAAAAAGTATTAGATTGTTTGAATATCAAGAGGTTTCTGTTATAAAAATGAACATAGTAATTTTTCTTGATGTTACAGTTATTGAGGAATTTACAAAATGGTTGGAACCACGAAAAAGTTCATATAAATATCTTTTAGATGTAAATTTAAAAATAGCTGCATTTCGGTTAGTTAATAAACAAAGGAATATGGAATTCATTCAGTTAGTTGCAGATACATATGATTTTCTAGAACATAAAGAAAAATTCATTGATTTAATTAAGGTACAGTTATAAAACACAGGATATAATTTATATTTGAACAATTATACATCACATTTTTATATTGTTTTAGAATATGATTGTAAAAAAGCAATTCAAAGAAGCAGCACAATGTGCAACTATGCTCAAATTACAAAAACATTATCAAGATATAGAGGTTTTGTTGTTGCCACTTATTTTACAAAATAAGTTGTCAATTGTCGAACAGTTTATTGCTGATGAGCCAGAAATACAAAAGTCTTTAATTCAATACTTGGATAATTTAATTACATCGGATAGCAATATGAATAGTCAGCTCAATAAAATAATCGAGTAAGTTTCTGTAATTCAGTAAAAATAATTATTAAGTTAAATAATATTTTAACATATATTATAGAGAATACAATATACCAGATATAAAGATATCAACAACAGAAATAAAACCAATGACTAAACTGATAGTACGTTTTGTCAAATTATATAATCTTCCATCGGAAATTTGTCAGAATGTAAATAAAAAACGAAGTACGGGTGCTCTACGCTTTCTCATATATAAACGTTACACGGATTATAGTCTAAGTATGATTACTTTATGGTTGAAAGAATAGCAATTGAAGAATGTAAATATGTATCAAATCATTTCTTATTTAAGGCCTTGAAAGTTGGAGAGAAATGGCACTAGAAACAGTTGGAAATGACACAAACTTACAACAAGAGCTGATTAGAATGCTAATTAATGTAAGAGATGCAAGAGAAGGGCTCTATTGGACTAAAATGTTCAAAATACCTATACAACAGTGGCCATCAGAGATTTTGTATGAAGCTAAACACATGAAATCAGAAGGTAATAATGTCATCAAATATTTTAATGTTTCTTTCTTAATGACTGTAAATTCATATAAGTTTTTGAAATGTAGTCATGATTGAAGGAGCTTCTACTAGTAAAGGAGAGGCGTACGACTGGGAAGTCACTGATGAGTCTGCAAATTATTATGAATTACATTTACCGAGAGACTCTATTTGTGTAGTAGATAATTCCCAAAAATTTGAAGAATTTCTTGATAACGGGTTGAAAGGTGTTTCTGTCGTCGGTATTGATTTAGAATGGAAACCTACTTTTGGTAATAGCTCAATTTAATTATATTTTCGTATTGATATTTTATATTATATTAATTGATATTTTTTTATGAATTGCTAGGTACAAAACAGACTGAATTAGCTTTAATACAAATAGCTACTCATAATAAAGTCTACATTTTAGATGTAACTACTATGGCAAATGAATCAAGGGGATTGTGGGCTGAATTGGCCTTGATTTTATTTGTAGATACGAATATATTAAAACTTGGTACATATTACATATTTATAATCGATTTAGTTTTTAAATATTTTTTTGCATAAAATGGCTAGTTAATAATGTGTTAACCATGCTATATGACATTATGCCATACAGGATTTGGAATTGCCCAAGATATGGCAATGATACGCGATAGTCTCCCAGTTTTCTCAAATATGAAGACACATGGACCAGGATACATAGACATAGTACATTTGTGGCAAAAATTAGTTGATGAGTATAAGTTTGTATTTCCACATGAGTACGACACGCCGCTTTTAAAAAATAATTTAAGCAAATTGGTGGAGCTTTGTTTTGGACAAAAACTAAATAAATCTAATCAATTTTCCAATTGGGAACAGCGACCCTTAAGAGAGAGCCAAATCGTATATGCCGGTAATTTATTTTTTTAACGTCTGAGTGCACAAAGACAGTAATAATAATAACATAATTATCTCATTACAGCACTAGACGCATATTGCTTATTGGAAGTATACGAAGTCATGAAAACTCATTGTACGCGTCTAGACATACCGTTTACAAATATTTGCTTGGAAATACAGCACATTCCGCAGAAAACGCCAAAAACAAGTCAAAGTACAAAAAAGAGTACACATGAAGTAAGTTAGTTATTTAAAAGTGCAGCAGCATCCGCAAAATCGAATATTTATATAAAATTTTCTGTTACTGTCGATATATAACTAGTGTAGAAAGTTAGACGTTGGATTAGTAATTGTCCAAAACTCAAAGTAAATAACGAAATGATAACAAAAACAGTTTATTAGTAAAACGCTATAACAAGGACTACACAGAATACTATCGCTACGCTAAACACACAACCGCTTGCTCGCTAATCGCACCAAAAAGTCACTCATTCACGCATTTTCACTTGCTTTTAAAGCACACCCCATTCGCTGTTTCTTTCTTATACTTACACCCTTCTCACTGACAGTCTAACCACTCGTCCATACTCAAAATTCACGCGGTCACGTACACCCTTCATTCTCATAGTTCCAGTCAAACACTCTTCTTTCGCGCTTCTCCAGGCACTCGACTTTTCTACGCGCAATCACCCTTATTTCCAAACAAGCCGGCTCCGCTCAGTCGCCAGGCAACAAGGACCACACGCGCGAACAATCACCCTCAATTCATACTTCGTAGGTTTTCCAAAACGTAGTCACTCCACTTTCTTAAAACAAACCGGTGCTATCCCGTCGCAAGGCAATACTGGCCACCCACAGGCACGCTCGATCATCCATAGGCACACTAATTTGAAGTGAAACAAAGTAAAAGAAAATTAGTCACCTACGAATAAATTTCAAAATTCGTCTATTTTTCATTGTATACTCATTCTTATATGTCATGTAGTGTTTAGTCCTACTTTTATTAAGAAAATGTAGTCTATACGATAAAAACACTTACTACAGATACGGTATAAAGTACAACAATTGTTTTTCAACCAAGATTACATTTGGTATGGTACAAAAATTTGATAGGTTCTCTTTCTTCATACATATCTCATGAGGTGAATGTATGTTATATCATTATGTATATTTTAATAAAGCCACGTATACCTGCAAGTGAGCATCAGAATCTACAACAAAAGCATCATTCAACAAAACCAGAATTACATCTAATGAAAATTAATAATCCAAATAACATACATCAAGATTGGTCACAAATGTGTAAAAAAAGAATACAAATCCATATGTGGCGAGTCGTCTGTGATTTACAGTTAAGTGGATTAGCCAGCAAATTACGAATGTGTGGTTGTGATTGTATTCGTCTACCGATTATTAAAGCCGTAGACGTATCAAAACAACAAAACAGAGTACTTTTAACTAATAAGCATTACCTTAAGGTGAGATTTATGTTTTGATTGATTTATGTTTATTGATTTATATTAATCTCTTTAATGCAATATTCAAATATTAACAAATGAAATTGCGATAGATAGTTTTCGCAATATTTTATGCCTGGGCAATTTTATTTTGTGCGAAATGATTTCCCTAATAAACAGTTACGACAAGTATTGAATCACTTCGGTATTTCGGTTACGCAAAGGCATATTTTTTCACGATGTAAAGTTTGTAATTGCAATGAATTCGCAAAAGTTCCCAGATTTGAAATGGATCAAATTATTGAAAGGTTTGTTACAATTTTTTATCAAACATTTAAATTAATTCATTGGAAAATTTGTTAATAATTTTAATCAATCTTTATACGTAGATATTATAGAGACAAGCCTGGAAGTTATCAAATAAATAAGAAGAATCATTTTGGTGCAAGCAATTTAAATAATAATACTTATAATTATGAACAAATCGAAGATCGGCGATGGATCTTAAATCAGAATTCCATAAACGTGAAAGAATTCTCGACCAAATATCACGTAGAAATTAAGATTGACCAGTTACCCATAGAAGATCTCAAAAATGAGGAATGGTTGTACATATGTGAAAAGTGCGGGAAGGTGTACTGTCTTGGAAGTACTTTCGAAGATACGCTAAATCATTATCATGACTTACTCAAAGTCTAGGAATGCGCAAATAAAAAAAAAATTTGTTATTTTATGTCAGTGACAACTGTTCCTATATTTTAATGCTAATAATAAGCGAATTATTATACTTATCTTTAAGACCTATTTCATTGCTTTAAGAATTGTTTCAGTATCTTTGAAAATTCAGTATAACTTTAGTCTCAATACTTTACTGTTATTGATAGTATTTTTCCTGAGGTTCATAAAAGATTTCTTTATTTCTTATTAAACAAGGCCAATATTATACAAAGAATTAAATTGTGTAATGCACAAAATTCTCTTGGTATGTCATCTGAAAAATGATAAAATACAAACAAACAAGTATAACATGTATACATACATTTTTACTTGTTTATGTAATAATACAATTTATTTTTCACGCAATATATTCTTCTTGTATAGTATGTATGGTTGATATTGTAATACAAAGATATATTCAACAATTGTAAGAATATATTATCGAATTTTAAATAAGAAAAAATACTTTGTTACATTAAATGGAATTAATTGTTTTCATATATTTGCGTTTTAAATTTTCTTTTTTCTATAAAGTATTGTATAAAATTTTTGTTCTTATTAAACATTCAAATAGAGTTGTAATTAATTGATGTAATTAATTAAATAAAGATAATTAATTCATGTGTTAGAAATATCTATTTAAATAAATGTACAATCACTTTAAGCGGTTGCAGTATCCCCAATAAATTCAGCTGGTTCTACGAGTCGCTTCTTTACGTATGGTGGAGGACCAAGTAATTTTTCTACATCGTCGTACGTTAAAGTTTCTCTTTTAAGGAGCTCTTCAGCCAACTGTAATGTTTATAAGAAAAGATTAATGATGCTATTAAATATAATATTTTATTGTTATTCTAATTTAATTAGTGTTAAAAAATTTCATTAGATATTATTGAGCTTAACACATTGAGCGCCGGCGACTTAAGAGACATTTAAAGCCTGAGCGCCGGCAACATATTGGCCATTTAGCCCAAACGTCGGCTTCATTTGTTTGTATCTGATCACCGAGTAGCTAAAAAAAATATTCAAAATATTATACATTTTCGTAAAATAGTACATTTTAATTGCATATTCGTCATATCCAGAAATGGAAATCCGGAAATCCGCATTATTGCGGGGCCGGCGCTCAAGCGAAAGTCTCAGAATCCCGCGTTTTCACGGGGCCGGCGCTCAATGTATTAAGGAGTTACGTAATACTTTGAAAGCAAACAGTAGTTGTATGTACCAGATTTAACTTGTCTTCATTGTCTTTTAGCAACTTCTCTGTTGCTTTGTATGCTTCTGTAATTATTCTTCGTACTTCGGCGTCCATTAAATTTGCTAATTTTTTGCTGTATATTTTTTTGGTTCTCTGCAGAAATGAAAGATACATCAGACAATACTGTTCATATAATATTAAATCAATCAAATAATCTTCTTTATGTTTACTTAACAAACAGTCTTAGTAATGATATAGTGCATTAAGATATACTTAGGTAATAATCGTACCGTGCTTGTAGCTTCTTCATTAAAAGAAATTAACCCCACAGCTGGGCTCATACCAAATTGCTGAACTTGATGATAGGCTATTTTTGTTACTTTTTTTAAATCATTCTCCGCTCCAGTTGAAATTTTGTCAAATTTTAAACTTTCTGCGACTCTACCTCCTAACATCATACACATGTTTTGAAATAACTCTTCTTTACTGTGAAGCTTCTGATCTGATGGGGTATACTGAGCAAAACCCAAACTCATATTTGTTCTTGGTATTATTGTTACTTTTAATAAAGCGTCAGTATGTTCTGATAACCAACCCACTAAGGCATGTCCAGATTCATGATAAGCAACAACCTTTTTTGTGGTAGGTGTCAAAACACTGCTCTTCTTTGCACTGCCTCCTATTGTTCTATCAATTGCATATAAAAGATCGCTACCATCGACTGAAGTTTTTTTCTCTCTTGCTGCATGTAATGCTGCTTCATTGCAAACATTCGCAATATTCGCACCTAAAGAAACATTATTTAGTAAAAAGCAGCAAGAAAAAAATGATGTACGAGGAATAACACAAAAATGTATAATTCCATACAATACCGCTAAAACCTGGAGTAAGATATGCCATGTACCCAGAATATTGGTTAGGCTTCCCTTCCAGAGACAATGATTTCAGATGATATTCGAAAATTTCTTTTCTTTCAGTCATAGTAGGAAGATCAATTAAAATATGCCTATCAAATCTCCCGGGTCTCAGTAATGCTTTATCTAATACATCTTCTCTATTTGTTGAGGCTAAAATGATAACATCTCCTGTAGTTTGCATTCCATCCATTTCTACTAAAAGTTGATTTAACGTTTGTTCGGATTCATCATTAACTTCCATGGTTCCTTCGGATCGTTTTTTACCTATTGCATCTATCTCATCTATGTATATTATGCTAGGAGCTCTATCAGAATAAGTAAAATAACAATTACTTTAAAAAATATATATATTCCTTTAAAATACAAAATAGGAGACATAGTCGAACCTTTTCCTGGCCTCTGCAAATAAGTCTCTTACACGTGAAGCACCCAACCCACCTATCAGTTCAATAAATTCAGATCCATTCATTGACAAAAATGGGACATGTGATTCTGTTGCAACTGCTTTAGCTAAAAGTGTTTTGCCACATCCTGGTGGTCCTAATAGTAAAGCTCCTAAAAATAATTCCAATTGATAAAAGTGAAATAGTACATTAATAATAATGTAAAATTTGTAAAAATTTAAAATACCTTTGGGAACCTTAGCACCAAGCTTCTTATATCGTTCAGGATGTTTAAGGTAATCAACAAATTCCATAACTTCTGTTTTTGCTTCGTGCAATCCAGCTACATCTTTAAAACATACACCTTTACCAGAAAATGGCTCCACTAATGTAATCTTTGTTTTTATCTTAAATATCTGTTTAATATCCGGTAATTCAAACAAATTTTTACGTGTCATGATATGTGCAACGGCAAGAATTGTTAATGCCGCTATTGCAATGGAGAAAATCGTGAATTGAGTGGTGTAGGTCTTGTATCGAATTGGAATTCCATTTTCTGCGCCATTACAGATAAATTAAAATGTACATATCAATGTTAAAACATAAATAACATGAATATAATATGATCAATTGTTGTATCATGAATCTATAGAATTTTTTGATGCAGTTAATGTATTAATATTAAATATCCTTGCTGTATTATACCTTCTGAAATACCCAATCTCCTTTCTATATTTCTAATTTTATCTTCAACAAGTGTAGGAGGTCTCTGCACGATAATAGTGTTGTATGTATCTTCTCCAACTTCAAGTCCTCTATAAAGTCCACCAGGTTGAAGTGTTACTTTCATATAGACATTATCAACTATAGTAATTTCTTTGACTTCTCCTTTCATCAGATATTTGTTAATGAACTCATTCCACTCACATTCACCTAACTGTGCATTAATAATGTTTAGTTATAGAAATACAATAAATGTTAATGTAATTGCACAATCTATTCTGAAACTGTTTGGCCAATTGATATCTTTACATTTTATCAAGATCATTTCAAAATTGTTGTATAATAGGACGATGAATTCATCTTGATGAAAAAAAGTGAAAAGAGTCTACCCAGATGATCTTATCATTTTATCAAAAGAACAACTTTTTGTAAATTTTTTATTCAAGTGAAAGCTGATCAGCTTTTACTTAAAATATTTTTTGTTAGATTATCAAAAGTGCCAGAAACATTATGGCAACAATTATATGGTATACCTCACATACCTTTTACAAATGATAAATTAGAATTAATGTGAATGATAAAATATACAATAAATAGTTGATCAAACAATTTGAAAACTATATAACTATGTATTTTTTTAAGCTAACCTGTAACTGTTTCCTGTCCATTAGTAGATAAAAACATAAAAATGTAATTGCGACTGCAACTTTTAGGTTAAATATGGCATTCATATTTGGATCTTTGTCATCATTCTTATTAGGTTTCTTACTTTCTTCTTTCTTATTTAACAAACTTGATGTTGTATTAAAATTCCTTCTACTGATCAGCCATGGAGAACAATAAATTTTATTAGGAATACTTTTACAAAGTAACGATTGCATTGAGTTGAATTCTTTGTATACATCTGTGTAAGACTGAAATAAACGTTTTCTTATAATCACATCGTATAAACAGTGAGGCATTAAAATAATAAAATAATTACCTGATGTAATGCTGGAAAGTATAACCTCTTACTACTCCTATTACTTACAGTATAATTATTTACATTTTTTAAATTAAACTTAAACAATGATTTTATGTGTTTTTGTGAAGCGACGTATTGTCGCTCCGGGTAATTTATTAAGTTCTGCATACTTTACTCGCATAAAGTAAGCTTATGAAAGAACATCGTTTAATACAGTAACGTTAATAGGTTACATGAATGGAACTCCGATTTCATCATTTTTTGTAGTAAATTTAGAAGAGACACATATGTAGTTCAAGTACAATTAAATAGCTATAGAATACAAAATACTAAAATCAAATCATACAATACAATCTAATTATTAGATTCTAATATCAGCGACGAGAAACAAGGTAGATTGGACATACTATGAAACTTCGTTACCGATCGCACGTCTGTGAATTTGTTCTAACGGTTCAGGGGTTTTATCCTAGATGGCGCTGATTTCGCGAGAATGCCGGTAAATTTTGAATTGTAAAAACACATCCTTCTGACTCTGCACAATAAAATGTAATTTATACTATGTTATCGCAACTTATGTTTATCCGCAGTGACCATATCTTAAAGTAAAGACTTTCAGCATTAATTCGATATGCAGAAAATTAAAAATTCATGACTGGATTTAACAGAAAATCACTAAGAAGTAGAAACTACATAAATGGTTGTTCGAGCTATACTGGCTGTCGCTGTCGACGCATCCTGTACAGCGTAAGGTGACCAAAGAAATGAAGTACACAACTAATTTGATTTGCACTAGCAAGTTTAAAATTTTCTATTATGAATAACATTGGACGCGACACCGAAATAGTATGAGGGTTCTGAGACCCCCGAAAACCGAGACAAAAGTTCCCATACATGCAACGTCTGCGAGCATAGTTCACTTCTTCCTATCTGGAACCCGCTCAGTCAACTATTCAGGGCACTAACGTGATAGTAAATAAATAGAAATATATAAGAGTGAGCAGGACAGAGATAGTTGTAGCCAACGTATCGGTAATGTCGGTTTCTACTTGTAAATAAAGTCAATTTCTGTTTGTCATTAGAAATCGTTCAACTGTACATTTAAAATTCTTTTGTTAATATCCGTCAATATTCTTTTTGTACATAGTCAGTTAGAAACAAGCCGTCATAGAAGTTGCTCGATAAAATATTTCAACATTATAATTCAAGGAACATTGTAAATAAAGATGATGACTGAACAGATTGCTGATAGGAAGAGGAGAGCTGTACCTACATATCTTAATCCTTTGCACTCCAATAATTTGTCACTAGAAATATTCAATTTATTTTTATGAGATATAGATGACATGTTTTAAAACTTACTTAACCAGGAATCTATTCACAAAATACAGGGAACAGTATTTTATTTCCACATTTCACGTATCGACAGATTACTCGAGACTTAATGTTAAATATGAAATTTTACAATTTTGATGCACCAATCGAGTGGTGACTGAGAGGCACCTTTGGAGTGCAAAGGGTTAAGTTTGCGGCTACCGCAATATGTTTCGCGTAACGTTCGATAGATGGCATTAGTATTTAATCAAGATAAATAGTACATCGGTTCAAAATGCGTGTATAATTATTTAGATCATATATTTAAATTATAATTGGTAGCAGTATTTGCATATTGTACAGAGCGTTCTGAATGAAAATATGAATTCTGTAGAATAACATATAAATAATGGAAAAGATCACTTAACGAATGCGAAGTTCCCGCGTGATCGTTGGTTATCGTTTCTACTAAAGTACACCGAATTTTCGAAAATTCGTTGTAATAAAAATAAGCGTGAAAGAGGAAGAAGGAGAGAAAAGTAAAAAGGGAATGAAGGGAAAAGGTGGGCGGCGAAGATGGGGTGGGGAGGGGGTAGATGGAAGCTAGCGTGAATATTTTTACCCAAGCCTGTTAACTACACTCTGTTATTTTATCTCACGTACACAGTTTTTCCACTACTACCAGGACGCTACGCAGGAATATAAGTTTTAAGGCGTGTTTTGATAGCGTCAGGGTGTGTCAGCCGGGGCTTCCTACCTAATGGATCACCTCTTCGTTTATTCGTACATACTTTTTGAAGTGTACGACCCCATGATACCTACAATTTCTCCAGTACCTCAAACATTCCCAATTATTTCGATCGTTTCGTAATAATTCCTATTCATTTTTATTGCAAATTTCGCTTCGATGTCTAAGTTTCAATAATAACATTTAGCTTCATAAATTTTATTCGTTACGTGGTTAATCGTAGAGAAATGTGTTCACCTGTATCACTATAATCTATGGAATGAATAGTTCCACTCATTAGTCAAATCCAGTAATTCCAGAAAACAAAATATAGACGAAAGTAGTGGAATGAACATCATGTATTATTACAGTTTTAACGTACATCTATCGAATCTGTAAAGCCCATAAAGCAGTATATCGTTCAAGTAATCCTTATAATTACTGCAACTGTCGCATAGCTAAAGGAATTTTTATCATTTTGCTGTATTAAATCGAATATAAGGAAATTTATTTTAAACGTCAGAAACCAAAAGTTAATCACACGCTTTGACGATGAAATTTGTTCAAATTGAAAATGTATAGACCGATTTGGCTGATGAGTTCGTACGACTGTGTATATAAGTACATAGCTATCTTAGGTCTCTTTCTACGAGAAACAGATCGCAGTCACGTAGCAATCAAGTATCTCCTGCAAGAATCCCCGAAGACAGAACGATGACAATTGCGGTCTTGCTGTTTAAAAGGTGTGAAAAGAATGAGATGAAAGTGGTTCGTCGCGGACGCGTATTTACGTGAAACAATATTTTTGTTGGCTTTAAAAAGGCGGCAACAGGGGCTAACCTTTGTTCCTCTTTCTGCGGTTCAGCCAGGCTATGCGAGGAAGACGGGCGAGGACACCGTCAGTCATCGACTTTGTGTCCCCCGCCTCTTTGGCGCACGTATAAATCTTGAATCAGTATTAACACCAAATTGTTATCTCGTTATTGACAACGAGAGAAGGAGAGAGAGAGAGAGAGAGAGAGAGAGAGAGAGAGAGAGAGAGAGCACACCAGGCACTGAAACAAAGCAATCTTCCTATTAAGATAACAAATAAACTTAAGAGGTGTTGTCCTTTTTAAAAAGTAACCATTTTTACTAGCACGTTTTTCGAGGAAAGCACAACTGTTCATCGGCAACTATCCGTCTCGCTAACTTCAAGATATTTAATAGATCTTTTTGCCAGTCAACGATAACCTTCGATTCAACCCCTTACCCCAGGATATCGTGTCAGACTCGCGATGAAATCTATAAATTGAACAAATTTAAATATTATTTACTCTTTTTTTTTAATATGAACTAAACATGGTTTTCCTGTTATCAATCGTTAATATACGAAGTCAATGGTAGGCATAGAATAAGTATGAAATTCTTTTCTTCTCCTCATTAAGTGTAGCTTTATGAAGTTCTGAAAGGAATCATAGGTCAAGGTGTTCCTTGGGGTGAAGGGCCGAATAAAAAAGTAACGGGAAAATACAATGAAATTTCTGATTCCATCAGGACGTGTATCGTGTACGATAGCAATCAGTGACAGCACGAGCGGCGTCATTAATCCATTTAGGATTTCGACCAGGGATAAACAAACGAGAACGAATAATTTGTTTTTGTACGCCACCTAAGTAGTCAACTATCTGGCACGCGAGCGTTGCAGTGCGACTCATAGTGGCCGAAAGATAGTGAGTGAAACAGCGGTAGCGATGTAAAGGGGGATAAAGAGGGGAGATACAGGCAGTTTACAGAAACACAGAGAGAAAGAGAGAGGGAGAAGTCGAGGGTGTGAAAGAGGAAGTGGGATCACATACTATAGTTCAAAGACTAGGCGACAAAATCAATTATTTTGTTAAACAACAAGCGATGTTGTGTTAGGTTTGCCAAAATAACCAAAACAATACCGTGGCTCGTGGTGGATCGCGCGCACGCCGGCTCGTGTAGTTTCCATTCATTCGGCAAACGTGGGATTCATCGACGTCATTAAGTGACAGCAGAAATTGTGACATTTGGATCTATAGTTCCTTTTGATCGCAGGTTACAGGAGCAGTCATGAAGCCAACCGATATGGACACCTACAAATTTTCTATTTATCGAACACTAGATTTACAATCGTTTATTGTACACTTTATTCTGTTGTTCCAAGAACAATAGATATTCATGTAGGTCTTAAAAATCGGAGCTTCGAAAGCAGAGAATTATCTGTATAAGAGGAATTATTAACATAAACTTTTATCGAATGATGTGTTTATAAAAATCAAATCGCTTGATTCAATATGGTAGAATCATAAAATCTTATATATAACAGTAAACTTTATATAATGTATTAACCCTTCGCGCTCAAGAGGTGACTCTCAGTTACCATTTGATTTGATATAACAAAATTATAAAATGTACATATAATATTAAGTTTTGTATAATGTATCAATGTGTGAAATATTTATATAAAATAGCTTTGTTTCTTAATTAACGTATGTTTTCTCATTAGTTCGTTTCGAATAGCGTCGTCTATGTTTCATTGGAAAGTGTCGAATGTTTCTAGTGAAGAACTTTCGAGTGCAAAGGGTTAATACATGAAATATTAAAAGAAAATAGCTTTGTCTCTTAATTTATATATGCCTTCTCGTTAGTTTCAAAGAATGTCATCTACATTGCACCGGGAAATGTTGGATATTTCTAGTGAGAAACCTTCAAAGGGTTAAGTTACAACCTGTTCCAATGTTATCGCCGCTAGTTCTCACTAGCCGTCCCAGCGCGGTGCCGATTCCCAGCTGACCGGCACTCTTGGAAGCCCATCGCACGTACCGTCCGCGTGGAAGCACGATGCACGTTAGAGGGAGAGCCGCAAGAACGGGCGTTGTTATTACAGATGCCACTCGTTCGGGATCCTGGCGTATATTTCAGGCACAAAGAAGCCTCCTTCCAATCCGGAAGAGTGACGCCTAATTTTCGGGACGCGCGCGCGTTATTGCTTTTCCGAAAAACGCCGGAGGAAGCTGCAATATCGACATGGTACCGCTTGTCGTTAAAAAAAGACATGATAAAGGTAAAAGAAAATCGGCAACTCGGTCGAAATCGATTACCTTATCAGCCACTAGAAGAATTCCCTAAAAATCACTGACGAGTTCGTCTTCCGGTTCTGCGCGCGTGCACCCAGTGCGATGAAACGTTGGACGAGCTAATGGTAACTGCTAGACTGCAGATCTCTATATGAGAAATTTGAAAGTTCAAAATTGGACAGAATACAGTCGATAAGAATATTTATTGTTGTAATGGAAACCATAATATACAATAGAATAGAAAACATGATTATTCATTTTAACCCTTTGCACTCGAGAGGTGACCCTCAGTCATCACTTGATTTGATTTGTAAAATTATAAAGTCTTATATATAATATTAAGTTTTGTATGATGCATCAATACATGGAATATTCAAATAAAATAACCTTCCTTCTTAATTAATATATGTTTTCTTATTAATTAGTTTCAAAGAACATCGTCTGTATCTCTTCGGAGAATAGTGAATATCTCTAATGAAAAACTTTCGAGTGCAAAGGGTTAATAATATTCGTTAGAAAGAAAACTCGCACAATCCCATTTCCCAGTGTTCCAAAATGTTCAACTTACACGAAAACCCGTGAACCAGCTGTATTACCAGAAATATACCGAGACCCCGTTCCCAAACGACACTACCCGACGTTTTCCTTATATCGCTGAGACGTTCGTCAGCCGATCGCGAAAGGATTACCATCGCGTTGAACGTCCAACAGAGAGTTGCTCATTATTTATTCAACGCTGGTTCCCGTAATTTTCGCCGTTCGCCGGACAATAAAAAGACAAACAGCGGACGGAGGCGTGCAGTCGTCGGAGCCGTGAATGGGAAAGAGGACGCTGAAAATAGTAGAACCGACGGCGTAGGGGGCAGGGGGCGATTTTTCACGAGCCGCAGGAACGGGACGGCCGTCGGGATCGGCCAATTGTTCGATCGTTTCGCACTGTTATTTTTATAATTCACTATATCCTCGGATCTTTCTGGCTGGCGCTCTCGTGGCGGCGCGGCGCGGTGCGGCGTGTTGTTTTTATTGGCCGCGTTTAGGGAGACGGTTCGGGAGACGAGCGAAAAAGGGACCCGTAGCGCGAGAGCGATGGCTGCGGCGCTGTGCTCGTCTGTCGAAGGGAGAGGGATGAGAACGGTGGGAACGGGGTGTTGTTTCATCCCTCCCGGCGGAGCTCCGTCTGTCTGTTCTGTCCCGCTGCACCTACGTTCTAGCGCCTAAACTAAGCCGCAGCTAGGATAGGTCGGTCTAGGGGAAGAAAGATACGATTTCCAGGGACTGGAAAGAGAACG